AAAGGTTTTCGATTAATAATTTATATGGAAAAAAGGTGGCTCTCGTTTGAAAAAAAATTCATAGAACCAAATTAAATAGTTTAAAATAATATTTATAATTATCTTAAAATATACCTAACTACCTAARATTTAAATTTTTACTTTTAAGTAGGTCCTGTTGGTAGGTTTTTATATAGGTTTAATAAAATGTACAAAACCAGAATTTGAATAAATGTATTATTATTTATAAGGTATAGGTAGTAGAGGAATAAACATGCTAGATGAATCTCCCTATATAACTGTATCTATTATTGTAATACAAGTACCTATACATACAACATACATATTACTTTGGTAATTACTAAATATTAATTTGTTTATTTTACTTATAGAGAGTGGGTATATATAAGTACTTGAATTTGTCAAACGGCTCGCAAGMTCRCCTATCTTCTAGAATGACAATTTATTTTCCATGAGTTCAACATTTTGATTCTAGGCCACTGTGGGCATCACCGTAGTGACGTAGTCTGTATTAAAACCATAAAAGTTATCAAATTTTGAGTACTGTTATTTTTCATTACTTGTACTTTTATGTAGGTAATTGGTTGTTCATTTATTTGTGTATGACAATATTAGCCACACTTTCAGAGTACCTATATCTGTGACCAATTCACACATTGTTAGTGAAATAATTTATTGGATATTAGACATCAATAGTCTCTTCTTGTAGTACCTTCACAAAGCAATCAAACATGGTTTAAATCAGAAGGTTTTCTATAAAATGATTTATATAATTTGTATACCTACAATATTTATGAGTTTATGACCTGAATTATTCCATTCAATTGACATGATTGTCAATAGGTACCTACTTAATAGCTATACATGTGTACATATCACTATATCAGTACAATATACATATTGGAAACACGTAACGGGTTTTTCTTGCTTAGTTTAGTATTTAATGCATCAATAAACTGCTAGATAGATGTACCTACGCGTTTGTGCGCAGCATGTCAATAATAGTGTATAATATAGTACTACAATATTAAATTCACGATCMTATATGTATAATGTATATTAGTATATTGCATATTATATATATATTATATATTATGAATCGCGGAAAAAAAGCCCAGAAAAAAAACTTAGCGGAAAAAAARCCTATKGAAAAAAAGAATAACAAATAAATAATAAAGGCAATTTTATATACGGATTACGGATACTCAAATAGTCAAATACAAAAATAGTAGGTATACTATTAATATAGTCATATAATAATAATAATGRCCATAGCAGGTCAGTCGACTAAAAATATAACAATAATATTATAGTATAAATATTTTGTTGGGTATAGTTATAGAGTAATATGATATTAAATATATAATGAAATTAAAACTCTAAGCTATGTTGTCATTCAAAAAAGTAAAAAAATTATAAGGATAAAATGGTAAAAGTGTAAAACGGTATATAAGTGTTCACATTTATATTTCTGGGCTTTTTTCCGCCTACCATATATTATATGTAGTTGATAGCTATGTAGTCAATAAATTATGACTCAAAAGCTAAAACTTACATTTTAGTTAGTTTTTTTAACTTTTGCCTGTTACTAATATTTAAATAAGTTCATTAAAAGAATTCATCYCTACGTCTCTACCTGTAGAGATATAGGTATTTTAATATATATTATATACAGTGGTGTATTCAATAGCAGGTGGTGTGACTAGCGTGAGTGTGTATTTCCTTTAAATATAAACTTTTCACGTTTTCATGTAAATCAAAAATGTATCCAAAAATATGAAAGCTCGATTTTTTTATTGGTGTTATATACAATTTTAAGATGAGATGATGCTCTCAAAACTCCAAACCTTTCACACATCAGTTTGTTTTTTTAATGATTGGATGGTATATTGGTATTGGTACCTATAACCTAGGTACATGTATGATGTAGGTATATATTATATATACAAACTCATCAAAATGAACCGTGGCATTTTTACAGTTAGTCGTTTGTCCAGTAAAAAAGTAGAATTTACAGTTGTTTAACCAGTGGTCCCTTGACGTAGTACAAACTATAGTACGTAGGTATATGTCAGTTCATTGAAATTGGAGTGAAGCGAGGTTACTTTTCGAGATGAAAACTGTACATGAAAAGATTTTCCAGGGTTAGGTAAAAATTCTCCACCTATTTTCCCGAGTGGGAAGCATCAAATTCTTGTGCCAGTGAGCCATGTCTAAAAWAATCCTGGATAGTATTCCTTATTTTCAAATGAGATTTTAATTTTGTCAGTTAAGTTATTTGGTGCACTGTGCCACTGTGAACAAATTGTATAAAAGCACCGAGATAAATAGTATATTATGTCAACACAGTTATAGGTATACAAATAGTATATATCTGTGATGTCAACAATATAAAATATATAATAAAATTAATAATTATAATCGTATTATTGACTCATCTTATCTAAGGCAGTGGCAACAATGCTACAGTGCTGTTGATAGAATAAAAGACCGGCCGTGAATGTGATTACTTGCGATTTTATCAAAAAATGTTATCACAAACTACTAAAAAAGTTTAAAAAAAACATTTAATATTAATATATTTTCATTTTCCATGTTTTTTGTTTAAATATTTGAACAACAGTATTTAATATTAACCATTTAAATTTTAAATATCTACAAATATTATAATAAATTATTATTATTTATTATTTATTTTATTATAATAAAATCATTTTTATGGTAACTTAATACTATACAATAGGTATTTAAATATCTTAAAACAAATATTCTATCTGTATTATTAACTGTGAAAGATGTCTAATAACGAGGAGAGCACTAATATGTCACAAGAAGAAGTTTTACATAAATTCGTTAATCGAATATTTAACAATGATCAATTTCGAGAAAAAATAATGATGCCAAATGTGATGGGACGGCCAGTAGTAAAATCGGTAGAAGAAAAAACATTAGAYTCAATTACTGAAAGTTGTGCATTTAAGTGCATTCTAAGCGGTGTGATGGGTAATACAAATAGATTTTTGTGTACCATATTTTTAGTATAATGTATTAGTGTTAAAAATGTATCCTGTTTTTATTTACATTTTATTAATTTCTAATGACATTTTAATAACAAAGATGTTAATTAATTTGATTGCCTAGGTTTTGCTCTTGGTGGAGCCATTGGTCTTTTTACTTCTAGTGTAAATCCACAAATAAAACCACCGGGTCAGCAAGAAACAGTCAAAGAAATTATACGTGAAATGAAAACTTCTTCACTTGGTTATGCAAAAAACTTTGCTTTACTTGGAGCCGTATTCTCTGGGATTGAATGCATTGTAGAGACAGTTAGTATTTAATAATGAGAAGCATCTCTTAATATTTATTGTTCAATATATTGATTTTTTACCTAACTTTGTAGTATAGAGGTCAATCCGACTGGAAGAATGGTACTTATGCAGGTGGAATAACTGGTGGATTAATAGGATTTAGAGGTTAAAATTTAAAATTATAGTTAATATCTAATCATATAAATATATGATTTATGAAAAATTTTTATTTTAGCTGGAGCCAAAGCAGGTTTACTCGGCGCATTAGGTTTTGCTACATTTTCCACTGCAATTGATTATTATATGCGTAATTCATCATAAATATTTTTATTTTTAATTAATTTTATTGCTGTAAATAGAATGTTAATTAGATTCTTTAATTGTAGAAAAATAAAACATTATGACTTATATTTGTACACTGATTTTTATTTTATTTTAATATAAAATTATGTTTATAAAGATAGGTGTTTTTTTATGACTTTCACGTTTAAATGAACAAAATATAATATATTCAAAGCAAAAAAAAAAAAACACTATAAAAAAAAACTTAATTACATTTTCTGCTTATTGCTTACATTATTATTATTTTAGATTCTGTCTGTAAACATTTTTCCTAGTAGAAATAATGCTTTGATTTTCAACTTAAGATTTTTTTCTGACAGGAGAGTGAATTCAAAAATTCAAAGTAGTTATTAAAAAGAACCAGGTAAAACAAACAAAATTAGAAAAAATGGGGTTTTTATGCAAAACAAATTAATAAAACACTTGGCAAATTGTTTTCAGTTAGAAATTAAAAACAATTTCTATTTATATCTAAGATTAGAAAATAGGATATATTATTCCTAATAAGTTTTTATTATAGAAAGTCAAATTGTTTTTTATGAGCGTTTGAAGTTTTTTGACTTTGGATTTTTCCAATTTCAGCAGTAAATTAATGAATTTTTATAAAAAAGTATTATATTATAATTTTATTTTGTAGAAATTGAAAAACAAATAACCATAAATACTGTACAGTAGAGTGTTACCACTTGCTTGCTTTTTTATTATTGTTGTTATTAATCATAACTTGTTTTTATTTACATGTATGATTATATATAATCTAATTATAACAAATTATAGTTAATTTATTTCTCTGGTCCATCAAAAATTGCTAAAACATAATTCTATCATATTTTCCAAATAAAATTAAAAATTTTTTGTTAGCATTTATAGTCCTTATAATAAATAATAATGAGAACAAAAATAAACAATTATATATATTTCAATTAAAAATTTACAAACTAAAAAAATATAAAATGCTAAAGTAAATTGTATATCAAAATAGTAAAATTATTTAATGTTGTCATATAAGTATCATCACAATGTTGTGCTGTGATACTCCCTAAAAAAAATATAAATCATATTGATTAATAAATTATTATACTTTTGAAAAGTGCAGTATAATAAATACAACATTATTTGAAGAAATATATAAATAATCATATCCTTACCTTCTAGCTTGTTCTAACTTAGCTTTTTCAAATTTTACATCATTGAGCTGTATTTTTAATGAGCTTATTTCTTTTTCAAAACTTGTTATTGTAGAGCGACACATGACCAGTTCATTTTTTGTTCTCTCCCTATAATATTTAAAATTTTGTAGGAAACTTCTAATAGTAACTAACAGTTAAGAAAACATAACACTGGCATTTGTCTTACAATTCCATAATATAGCAAATTTATGTTCAGTAGATCATATGAAGCTTCATAAGTTTAAAAACTAGAGTGAATCGACCTATTATGAAACATCATAAAAATATTATCTATGTTTGTATCTATGTGGGTTTTTTACAATGAATTTTTTAGAAAGTTACATATATTATATAGGATACTGGATAAATTAAAAACACTTATAACTAACTTCAAAACTGAATTATTGTAGAAAACTACAGAAACACAGATAATGTTCTTGCCATAAGTTTCATCAATTCACATTAATTTCTAAATTTTCAAAGCGTAGAGTGTAAAGTTTCTATGTTGCGCACTTGTAAGACGAAGGAAACAAATTTGAGTGTTACGTCCTCTTAATACATTAAATATGATGGAATGTTTTTTTTTAGGATTCTTCCAGTGTTAAACATATGCAAATATTATTACAATTTAAGTAATAATATAATTATATCAAATGATAAAGAAACTAGTTTGTAACCAGACTATAATGGTGTTAAAAAAGTAAGACTAAGGTTTTATCAGGTGATTATAAATCAATATTTCTAAAACAATAATTTTAAGCCATGATTAAAATAAATTTTTTCATGCATACAGTAATTCCTCAAGATGTTTTGATTTTTGTTCACTTTCTTCCATCCTTTCTTTTAAATCATTTTTGGTAATGGTTAGTTTCATACATTCTTGCCTAGAATCACTCAATACAGCTTCTATTGTGGTTATTTTTGACCGTTCTCTTTCTAGCTGTGAATTCACCAAACTTAGTTCATCAGATAGTCTCAAACATTTTTCCTCAGCTTTATGTTGCAGATTTTCCACATGGCTTAAACGTTCATTTAAATTAAACTTAGCTGAATCTACACTTGAACATATTTCTCTGCAAGCATGTAAGTCTTGTTCCAATTTAGAAATTCGATCATTTCCAGAAGATAATTGGGATTCTAATGATACTATTTGATGAGTCAGGTTAGATATCTAAAGATAAAAAAAAAACAATTTGTTAAATTATTACCAACTATTGGCAGTTTAATTTTAAAGTCAGTAATATACTTGTGATTCATAACTGGATATAACATCTTCTTTGTCAACGAGTTTACGTTCCAAATCAGACATTATATGTTCCTTTTCTCTAAGAAGTGTTTTAGTAGACTTGGCTTCACTTTCTAAACTATAGTTATTACTTTCTAACTGAGTGGCTTCACAATTTAATGTTTTAAATTGTTCTAATATTTCATCCCTTTCAGATTCTTTCACTTCAAGTATCTCTTCTACTCGTCTTATTTCTAATACATATACTTGTAATTGCATTTTTAAATCTTCAGCTTGCTTTCGAGATGCTTCTAATTCAGAACGCAAGACTTTATTATCTTGAACTACCATATCTAAATCATTTTGAAGTCTCCTTAAAACAAAATATATTAATTGAAAGTAATAAAATAACACAAAAGCAAGAACACTATTTTATATTTTTATTCATATATTATAGATAAATTTATTTTGTGTTATGAAGTTATGATATACAAATATAGTAAATATTGGTATAAAATATTCTATTGTTTTGTTTACGTACTTCTTTTCTTTTTGCTGGCTACCAGAGTTACTTTCTATTAATTTATACTCTGTTTGAATATTAGAAAGTTCAAGTTTTAAATTATCGCACATCTTTTCAGTTTCTGATTGCGAACTTAAAGCATTACTGTTGAATACAAATTAACAGTTACTTAGTGTTATGCAATAATATAATATATTAGTAAAAATATAAATTATTTTTACGCAATTTTTTTAGCAGCATCTGTTAGTTTTGTATGTAATGATTGAATTTGATTTTCTTTATCTGTGACTAATGACTCTAGATGGATAATACGCTTGGTTTTTTTTTCCAATTCATTCTTAAATTAAAAATTTCATATAGTAAAACATTTAACCTTATAAAATGTGTCATGTAATATTTAAAGTCCTATGAAATAGTTAAAAATAAATAACTAATAAATAAACTTTTTAATAGTGTGATTATGAGTGATACTTTATTTGATAATAGAGGATCCATTACAGTATAACGGTTGGCCTAAATAAAATATTTTTAGATTTTTTAAATTTTGTTTTTGATCAACTTAAGTATTAATATACTAACCGTTAAAGTATCACATTGATGATCAATAGCCATTGTGTTATTGTGAGATTTATGTCGTTTTTGTTGTTCATCAATTAATTGATCATTAAGTTTATTATTAATGAGTTTTAAKTCTTCAATTCGAACATGTGCCCGTTCCAATTGTTCTTCAGAAGCATTCTGAGCAAACTGTGTAGATTGCAGAGTCCGTTCAAGTCGTTCTTGACAACATCTAGTTAACAGTTAGATATTAGTATATTTAAATATACATAAATGTATTAAAATCTTTACTTTTGATCATCTATCATGGCGGTAAGTCTTTTTAACTCTGTTTTTAAATAAGTTATTTCTCTGTGACATTTCTCTGATTCTCGTTGTTTATTGCCACTTTCCCAAGTAAGTGAACGTTGTTTTTCAATTAACTGGTGTTTTTCATCTTCCAATTGTTTAATATATTCCAGTTCATTGTATTCATTATTCTTTACAGCTTCTCTAGTTTTCTGTGAAAAAAAATTTAATTACCTAATATCTATATCTTTAATGGTTTGTGTTACTTACCCTTAATTGAGAATTTAAGAATTCAATTTCTTTTTTCAAACCAATTATTTCTTCAGCAAATTCGTCTTTTTCTCTTCTGAGCTTTAAAATGTTTTGTCTGTCTAATCTTTCATATTCTTCTTTTCTCATTTCTTCTATTTTCCTTTTTAAACCTGAAATCTAGAAAATTAAATATCAAATAAATGTATAAAATATGTGATAAATATTTTTTTAAATTACTTCTACATTATGTTGTTTTTTTAAACAGTTGATTTCATATAAGTATTCATCTCGTTCTGCTCGTAGTTTACTCACTGCTATTTCTAAATCATTTGATCTTTTCTCATGTCTTAATGGATTATGTTGAGATTTCATTGTTTTCTCTATTTTTCTCTCATAATCTTTTTGTTCTGCATCAAAGGCTTTAAGTTCATCTTTAGACATATTGAAACATGTACAAGATTTATTTTCCTGCCATGACTTAGTTTTCACATCTTTTTCTGATTCTAAGGTAAATAAAATATATATATTTATTATACAACTAATTTTTAATAAGTGATGTACTTGATTTTTGTATATTATGTTCAAGCTGTGATATTTTTTGTGATAGTAAATGTTTTTCTTCAGATATTTTTTCTATTTCTGACATTAAATCAGTTTCTGTATTTAAAAAAAAAAGATAATCGATAAATTGAATTTCACTAGAACAATATAATTTAATTTAAAGCTAACCTATATTTTTGGAGAAGTTTATTTTTTCTAAAAGCTGTTTTTGATCATTCAATGCCTTTTTAAGTTTAGTTTCATATTCACATATTTCAGACTCCAGAGACTGATTTTTTGTTTTTAGTTCTAACAAATGTGTATTGTTTTCCAATATAATACTCATGTCCTTAAAATAAAATAATAATTAGCCTTAAATAGTACTTAAAAACTATACCTACTCAACAAAATAAAATTAATTACCTTATCACAATTACAATGATTTTTAATATACTCATTAAGAGAACGTTGAAGAGACTTTTTTTCTTCGGTTACTCTGGTTAAATGAAACATTGCTTCACTATGATTTGCCAATGCCTCTATACAAATAGAAAAAAATAAACCAAAATAAGAATTATAATATTATCCACCAATATCTCTAATTTAATTACTTTCACTATGTACATTATAAAATTAATTATTAGGTATGGCATGGCATCTCCAGGATTATAGAGGGCTGAACTGGACTGACAAAATACCATACTAAAATATTAAAAATTTGAATTTGCTGTTTATATAATATTTGAATTATAAGTAATAAATTATTATTTCTACATGTTTAAAAAAAGCTTAATTTCTAAAACCAGCTATTGATGACAAATTTTCTTTCTGAACCTCAATAATTTATTTTAAATGTAGTCAGATCTCATTGACCATTGGTTTAACTTGAACAGTGAGACTGACTAAAGAGTAGAAAATGATTTTATATTTGTTTGATTTTAAATAAAAATGTTTTTTAAATTCTATTCAGAATTAGTATACCTACTAAACTATTAAATATTTAATGTTGTGTCTAGAAAATTGGCTATTTAAGGAAAATAAGATTCAGCAATTGGAAATATTATTTTAAAGAACGGAAAGCAATTCACATAGGTGCTAACAGAAATTTCTTAGTGCATAGTAATTTTATCTCAAATTAACTTAATTTTTCATTTATTACCATCTAATTGTCTTCGAAGTACTTCATTATCCGCCCTCATATCAATAAAAGTATCAGATTCTGCTTCATTTTTCACCATTTGACTTTGTTGTTTAGGTGAAAATTTACTGGACTAATGTATGACATAAATTAGTTATATAATTGTTTTTGATTATGTTATTGACACCAATTGTTTTACCTGACATTTTGTATGCTTGATATTTTTTTTTAAGTGTGCAGTTTCTTTATATAATTCTTTGACTTTTTTCTTTAAAATATCATTTTCTTTATGCTTGGTTTCTTTATTTTCTTCTCCATTTTTATAATTATCTAAATTATCAATTTGTATTAATGGCCTAAGAGACTTAAATTCTTTACCTGAAATAATAATAAATATTGTTAGATAAATATAATGCAATAAAATATATAATATTGTATAGCTATAAATTAAAATAGAATAAATACTTTTAGTTTCAAGTTGGGGTATCAGAAAAAGATTTCCTAATTCTAAAAGTTTTGCATTTTTTATAATTGYTTCGTCTTCCAATTGTTCAACTTTTTTAATAAGTTCTTCATTTTCTTGTTTCCATTCTTTTTTTTCACTTTCCAAGATACCAATTTTATTTTCAAGTACTTAAAATTAAAGTAAATAGTTTTAATTATTACACTATGATAAATAACTCTAGGTTTTTTGAAGACCAGAGAATGTCAATTTGACATAATTTATTATCATCTATGTCATTTCATATACACTATAGTAAAACTGTTAAAACCAAGTTAACATTATTCATTCCAGTACTTACTAATTATAAAATCCTCCATTCAATTTTAAAATTAAAAACTATACTTAATTGAAGTGCCAATAGGTATTTAAAATAACTATTGCCTATATTAATATTATGAGTGAATTAACAAGACAACATAAGTTACATAGATGTTACGCTCAAGAAGTATTCAAATTAAATTAAAAACAGAATAGTGCTTACTCTTAACATATTCAAGTTCTTTCTTTAATTTTGATTGTAATTCGTTGTGCTCTTGAATGAGTGAACAATTATCTCGTAAATAAGGTGCAGATTTTGCTTCTAAATTTCGAGCCACTTCAATTGTGTTTTGAGCTAAATTTTTATACTGTTTTAAACTGTTGGTAGTATGAAGTAAGTCTCCTATTAGCTGGCTAACAAGACCAATAGAATCAAATGACATGTATTGTCGATAACCAAGAGCATCCAATTGATATCTTATTGATTCAAAACGCTGATTTTGTTCAGTTTCGTTCATTTTAAAATCAAYTTTTATATAGAATTAATCCACAAACACAATTAGTTAATCTAGATATTTTCTATTCATATATAACTTATAAATTATTATAAAACATTATACTCAAGTAAATGTTTTTAGTATGTTCAAAACAATAATATTGAAAAATTTTTATTCCAAATACGACTTGAAAAAATTAAAATGTATTTTTAAATTATAAAATGTAGATCTTTAGAAGATTAAATTTAACCGATTTTTACTTCCATCCTGATAATTGATGTGATTTTGTGATGCTGTTCTGCATGAGTGTAAAGGTAAACTGTTAACATTATTGAATTATTTTGTGATCACGATTTAATACATTTTAAGAGATAAGATAAGTTTAAAATTTGTTGATAACGAAATTTAAAAATAACGACTATTTTAATATTGATAAAACATTGAGATAACATTATAAATCCAAGAGTCCAGGCATGTTCTGTGTCTGTTACATAGACATATTAAATATTAATAAATAATAATAATTAATATGTCTATGATCTGTTACTTGACATCTGTGCTATAAAGGTGATCCTGGTTGGGAGTCCCAACTTGGGACGGTTGGGTTCGGCCAGTGGCGTATATAAGGAGGAGGGGCTAGTGGGCTTTAGTTCTCCCCCCCTGAAATGTCAATCGTAACTGTTAAATACATATAATAGCTTCTGTAGGGTGCTAGCACATTTATTATTATAAAAAAAAATAGTTGCCATCATAGACAATATGGTTGCTATAGCCCACCCTGAAAATTATTTCTACACGTTCGACCTACGCTAAATTTACTTATATAGACCGGCTAAATCACCTTTTTAACCACATGTATTAAGTATTACTAGTATTAGGTAGCTATGTCAAAAGAAAGATTTGCTATTTGCTTAATAAATTAAAGTGTGCTAGCCGCTAGGTACTTAAGTAGTAAAAAGGCGGGTAAGTCGTGGATGTCGCTCTGCTGTACAGTAGGTTACAAGTGGGTTACTGTAATGGATGGAATTAAATTTGAAT